GGGGAGGGGAGGGGAGGGAAGGGGTTCTTCAGTCTGCCCTATTCCTGTCGCACCACCGTGTTTTCCTCCTGGTCCTCCAGGGAGCCAGGCTTGCTGGAGAGACTGAGGAGAGATTAAATGAGGGACAGATTTGCTTGCAGGACACACGTGTGCTTATTACAGCCTGGGCCCTGGCGCTGGCCCTCAGAAGGCGGAGTGGCCTGGAGGAGCGTCTCATGTGGGGATATTATCTTATCCAAAGTGCACCCCAGGGACCTACATTTATTTCCTGCTGCTGATAACTCCACAAGAGCCAGTCAGCCAGCCGGCGGGGTCAGCACGCCTTTCGCCAGCTCTAAACTGCATCTTTCTGATCCGAGGGCTGCGCTTTCTCACCCTTGGGCCCTGCCGCAGCGTCCGCGGACGGACACCTGCCTTTGTTCTGGGCATTTGGGGCTGGGGTGGGCAGGGCACAGCCCAGAGTGCCAGACTCGGGGTCGGGGCAGGGTTTTCCTTCCAGCAGACCCATGGGGAGGCCCTGGAGTCTGCATTTCACAGGTGGGGAAACTGAGGCCCATGGTCACACCAGGAGGAGTTCCCACGTGTGCTGGTGGCTGGAAGGAGGCTCCCCAAAGTCTGAGGGCTTGGCCCCAAGCCACCCGAAGACTCCAGCGTGTGAGAGCCGCCAGTCCTGCCTTATAAGCCCAAAGACCGGGTGGCCGGCTCGGGGACCGGGCCGGGCCTTGTAGGGAGACGGCCTGGCTGCCAAGCACTCGCCCCGGACAGCCTCCCGGCGGGGCTAAATTTAGCGGTTCTGTACAGTGTGGAGGCTCGAGGCCGGCTGGGGCCTCAAGGGAGGGGACACTGCTTCCAACAGGGGCTCCTTAGCCACTCAGGGTCCCGAGGATGCCCAGATGCTGCCTCAGTCCAACCCTGACACCGTCTGGGCTGAGATTCCTGTAATGCCATGCCGCCCCTGAGACACTGGCTGCAGCAGGGCTCTGGGCCAGCCGGGCAGAGCCTGCCACGGGGAGGCTGGGGGAGGGCCGGCAGCTGTGGGGAGGCCTGGGGTGCAGCACTGGCCCCGGGTTTGGCTTCTCCCATTGCCTGGACCTCTGCTGCTTCGCAGGCCTCTCCTACCCCGCCCTCCGGGCTGTGACCCGGCTGAGGCCCTCCCCACTCCCACCATGGGTTTAAAGTGTATCACCCCCTGGTCCTTCTCCATCCGGCTCATCCCTCTGCCCCACTTCCCTTCATCCCCGGCCTCCCTCCACCCTGGATTAAGAGAACTCCCAGGAGGCCAGGGATGGCGGCTCACACCTGTCATCTCAGCATTTTGGGAGGCTGAGGCAGGAGGATTGCTGGAGCCCAGGAGTTTGAGAACACCCTGGGCAACATGGTGAAATCCCATCTCTACAAAAAATACAGAGAAAAAAAAATTGGCTGATCACGGTGGTGCATGCCTATAGTCCCAGCAATTTGGGAGGCTGAGGTGGGCGGACCACTTGGGGTCAGGAGTTGGAGACCAGCCTGGTCAACACGGTGTAACCCTGTCTCTACTACAGATACAAAAATTAGCTGGGCCTGGTGGCAGGTGCCTGTAATCCCAGCTACTGGGGAGGCTAAGACAGGAGAATCGCTTGAGCCTGTGACAGGGAGATTGTGGTGAGCCGAGATCGCGCCACTGCACTCCAGCCTGGGGGATAGAGTGAAACTCAGCCTCAAAAAACAAAAGGAAAACAGAAAAAAACTTATCTGGGCATGGTGGTGCATGCCCATAGCCCCAGCTACTTGGGAGGCTGAGGGGGGAGGATCTCCTGAGCCTGGGAGGCGGCAGCAAGGCGTGATCACGCCACTGCACTCCAGCCCGGATGACACAGCGACACCCTGTCTCAAAACAAATTAATTTATTACATAAAAATAAAGAGGACTGCTGGGGGCTGGGCTAGACCCTGTCCCTCAAGCACTGAGTGCGGAGCCCTCACGAGGGAGACCCCTCTCCCTGTCAGCTCCTGAGGCTGCGGCCACCTCCACACCAGCATGGTGGCCACATTCACCTCCTCTCTGGCACTTACATCTTTTTTCTTTTTATTTTCTTCTCCTTTTTTTTTTTGTGAGACGGCGTGAGACTCTGTCCAGCCCAGGCTGGAGTGCAGTGGCGTGATCGCGGCTCACTGCAACCTCCACCTCCCGATACAAGCGATTTTCCTGCCTCAGCCTCCGGAGTAGCTGGGACTGCAGGCGCCCACCACCACGCCTGGCTAATTTTTGTATTTGTGGTAGAGATGGGGTTTCACCATGTTGGCCAGGCTGGTCTCGAACTCCTGACCTCATAATCCACCCACCTCGGCCTCCCAAAGTGCTGGGTATCAGGTGTGAGCCACCGCACCCGGAGTTTTTATGTGTTTTTAGTAGAGATGGGGTTTCACCATGCTGGTCAGGGTGGTCTTCAACTCCTGACCTGAAGTGATCCACCTGCCTTGGCCTTTCAAAGTTCTGGGATTACAGGAGTGAGCCACTACACCCAGCCTTTTTTTTCTTTAAATCCAACTGTCTGGAGTGTAATTCACATACAATAAACTGCACCCATTTTAGGCACATGATGTGATGAGTTTTGACAAATGCGTGCGCACACTCCAAATCCATCAGCCTCGATCGCCCCGCCTGCCCCTTTGTGGTCCACCTTCCCCAGCCCGCCCCAGGCCTCCTCCGGAAGGTCAGTCAGGTGGAATGACGCAGGAGGAGCTCCGCTCGGGGCCTGGCTGCCTCTGCTCATTGCCGCTGAAGGTGTGGGCTCCGCGTTCTGGTTGTGTGCCTCGATGGTGTGCCCCTTTCGGTTGTGTGGACGCACCACAGCTCGCTTACTCCTCACCTGTTCATGGACATTTGGGGCCTGTGCTGGTAAACCGCTGTGGACACTCGGGGGCAGGCCTCCGTGTGTGTGTCTGGCTTCCTTCTCCTCCTGCTCTTTGTGCCTCTGTTTCTCCATACGAAGCCCCGTTGTGGTCCCTACCGCCACTGTGAGGCCTGGAGCACGGGGTGTGGGGCTCGAAGACTCCTGGTCTCCAGAGGGGCGGGGTCCCGTGAGAGTGTGGTAGTTGCCAGTTAGAAGTGTGCCAGGGCTTGCCCCGGAATTCCCTCCTGGGTGCGCAGCTGTGAGGTAAGGAGACCTCTGTTTACCTTGGCTGCCCCGTCCTGGCCTGTTGACTCCATGCTGCGTGCTGCACAGAGCTGGACTCGGGCCGGCCGGGATGGGGTGGAGGCAGCAGGCTGGGAAGCCTGGAGCCGACTGCCTCGTACACAGGACCCCCAGCCCATCTCAGACCCACACCTTGCCTGGGCACCATGGTGCAAGCTAGATGCTCAGATCGGCAGAGAGCCTTGGGCAAGGCACAGCTCAGCCATCCTGCTCCTCTTCCGTAAATGGAGTCCTAGCCCTTGCCTGGCCCATCTCCCAGGGCTGGCTGAAGACATGGGGAGATGAAGTGTATGGAAGGTTCTGTGGTGTGAGGGGTCTTCCAGGCCGACCGCTGGCTCCTGCTGTGAGCTACGGGCCAACCCCCGGCCCCCCACAGAGGAACCGGGGAGGTCCTGGGTAGCAGGGTGAGGGCGGGGACTGCCTCCTTGTCACGGAGACTCTAAAAGGCTCCATGCTTGGGCTATTTCCCCTCATCCCAGCCTCTCTCTGGCCTGGATTGAGGACTCCTGAGGTCTGGGCTCGGCCCTGCCCCTCAAGCACTCCTCCCCGGATGCTGAGGATGCTGACACCCACAACGCCCACGTGCCAGCACGTGCCCACCCACCGCTTCTGCAGCTGCCACCTCTTTTTTTCCTTCTAAGTCAAGCTGTACTGCAGTGTAATTCACAAACAATAAAATGCACCCATTTTAGACACACGGTTTGGTGAATTTCAATGGCTTTTTTTTTTTTTGAGATGGAGTCTCCCTCTGTCGCCCAGGCTGTGGCACGATCTCAGCTCACTGCCACCTCTGCCTCTCAGGTTCAAGTGATTCTCCTGCCTCAAGCCTCCCAAGTAGCTGGGACTACAGGTGCACATCGCCACCACGAGCGGCTAACTTTTGTATTTTTAGTATAGGTGGGGTTTCACCATGTTGGCCAGGCTGGTCTCAAACTCCTGACCACAAGCCATCCACCCGCCTTGGCCTCCCAAAGTGCTGGGATTACAGGCGTGAGCCACCGTGCCCGGCCATAATGTTGACTGTTCTGCTGTTTTTGTAATTCTTGTCATTTTTGAGCAAAGGGCTCCAGGTTTTCATCTTGCAACGGGCCCTGCAAATGATGTAGACAATCCTGCCTGTGGCCCTGGGGGCAGGGCCTGAGCCTCCTTCCCGGGGCAGCTGAGTGGAGGATTAGATCCCAAGGCTTCATGATGCGTTTGGATGAAGTGAGGGCCGTGGTGACTCCCTTCCCAGAGCCCGGCTTCCAGGAAGGCAGGGCCACCAGAGCGAGTTGGCTCACCCCAAGCAGCCTCGCAGAGGCCCGGGGGGCGCTGTGGGCTGAGGGAAGCCTGGGGAGGTGGCAGGTGCCGGGTGCATTTGAGCTGGGCTTGGAAGGGCCAGAAGTGGACGCGATCCTGGGGTTCGCAGAGGGAGGGAAACAGAGCAGGAGACTTGTGGGACGGGCAGAAGAGCTAGGGCTGAGGCTCCTCTGTGCGACACGAGGGGCCCCCGAGGCTCAGGCTCCAGGCCCAGCCCTGCCCCAGGCCCAACCAGGGAACACCCCCAGCCTCAGTTTCCTCCGTGGTGACATGTGGATCATAAAATGCATAAAAGGGGCTGGGCACAGTGGCTCACGCCTGTAGTCCTGGCACTTTGGGATCCCACGGTGGGAGGATACCTTGAGGTCAGGAGTTCCAGACCAGCCTAGCCAGCGTGACGAAACCCCATCTCTACTAAAAATACAAAAAATTAGCCGGCTGTGGTGGCACGTGCCTTCCTGGCAACTCTGGAGGCGAGGCAGCTACTCGGGAGGCGGAGGTTGCAGTGAAACGAGATTGCACCACTGCACTCCAGCCTGGGTGACAGAGCAAGACTCTGTCTCAAATAAATAAATAACGTAAAATAAAATAAAAGGCCTTGGAACTCTTGCACAAATTGCCAACTCCGTTCCCTGAGAATCAAGCCTCCTGAAGCCAGGAGGGTCTACAGTCGTTGCACCTGCCACTCGAGTGTGGCTCTCAGAGTCTTGTCTTGGAGGCCAGAGAACAGTCCTGGTGACGTGTGAACCCCAGCCCTTCGCTCAGCGTTTCCTGGAGTGGCTGTGGGCAGGGGGTAGGGCCCCAGGTAGACGCCGCGTAGGTGGAGCATGTGGGAATACTCCCCAGGAAACAGACGCTGAGGGTCCTC